TTTTTTTTTTTTTTTTTTTTTTTTTTGAGACGGAGTCTTGCACTGTCACCCAGGCTGTAGTGCAGTGGCGTGATCTTGGCTCACTGCAATCTCCGCCTCCTTCATTCAAGCAATTCTCCTGCCTCAGCCTCCTGAGTAGCTGGGACTACAGGCATGCACCACTACGCTGAGCTATTTTTTATTTTTGTATTTTTAGTAGAGACAGGGTTTCACCATGTTGTCCAGTGTGGTCTCAATCTCCTGATCTCATGATCCACCCGCCTTGGTCTCCCAAAGTGTTGGTATTACAGGCATGAGCCACTGCACCTTGCCCACTTTGGCTTTTTGAATTGCCAGAGTTCTTGGGCTGATTTTTTCTCATATGGGAGGGTTAGTGTTCCTTTAAGTAAGGTGTAAACTGAGAATAGAAAATTGGCTTCATTTCTGCATGTTTTCATATGGTCCAGGAACAGTGCAGGGTCTTGTTGGCTGATTCTTGCCGTTTGTTTCATAGTGAGAGATATTAGCAATGTATTTTTGTTGTAGTAGTTTGTGCTACAATACAGTAGATGATGCTTAAAAGTCATGGCCAGTAGATCACCTTTTACTCAGCCAAGTGACTTTTTTGTATTTCCTGGCATGTGTATTCATGCTCTTCCATGCTGTGGAAAGAGAGGAGATCCCCTTACCAAGTCAGCTCCTGGGCATTGAGGGAGCCCCTCTAATCACTGGCACTGTACATTCGCTTATTTTGTCAAGTGTTTGGGCATGGTGCTTCCTCAGGCAGAGGCAACTTTCAGGGCCAGCCCTGAGAGGAAGGCACACTCCACTCCCATAGCAGACCGCACAATCCTGACACTCAGCTTTTCTGGTGCTCTTACAGTGCTGGCTCCTTTTCTGCTCAAGTGCTGTTCACAAACCTCAGCTTGGCAATTCCAAGCTACCACCACAGCCTTGGGGGAAGCTCAAACTTTTTGTTCCCTCCCCAGCTTGGGGGCAGCAGGAGTAGGGACCACTGAGGAGGCAATGTCAGAATATTTGTCAGTTGCTTCTGGGGTCTCCAGCCCAGAGGAACATGGAATCATGGCTAATTGAAGTCATCAACCAAGGGTACAGAGACTGAACTATGGGCCCAAGCCAGGGAGCTCTGCCTGGTAAAGAGTGAGGGCACAAGGGCTCACGGAAACACAGTCTGGTCTCCTCTCCTTAGGGTAGCTTCAGTGTGCTGGAGGTACAAGCAAAGCAATCAGGCTCTTTGTTCCTTCCCTAGACTTAGAGGATCCAGAGCTTGTAGTGCAGCTGTGGCAATGGCAGAGTGTTGGTTAGTTGTCTCTGGAGCTCCACCCAGCTGCACTGGGGCCCAAGCTGGGAGGCCTTGCATCATGAAGAGAAGCAGGGACAGGGACTCAGGACTCATGTAGAAAACAGTCTGGCCACCTTTCTGTATGGCAGCTGCAGTATGCTGGAGACCTGTGACAGTTCTTGGCCTCTTTGCTCTCTTCCCAGCCTGAGGGCAGTAGCAGCAGGGGCCAGGTGGCAGGGGCCACTTGGATGTGGAGCACCATCCAAGAGAAATACAGAGCTGCCACCAGCAAGAGTACTTAGGCAGAGGTAGAGTAGCTACAGTGGGGTCTTAGGCCAGTGGACCTTTCCTGGTGGGGTGCAGCAGAGGTGAGTCGTTTAGTCCATCTACTTCTCACACCACAAATGCAGCCTTCATCCAAGGGGCCTGTGAGAGAGCCTGACCTCTCTTGTTGGCAGGGCTACCATAGCAGCTGCTTGGGTGCCCAGAGATCTAAGAACCACGGAGCCCCACCTCGGCTTGAGCAGTGGGTTTGTCCAAGCTCCAGGCAGATCTCTGTGTCTGTCTAGAGGTCAAGGGCATCAAGGAGGATCTCCTGTCTCCAGGATTGCAAAGATCATTGGCAGAAGTGTGGATTCCCAGGAGCTCTCACTCACCCCTTCCCCACGGCAGGGAACCTTCTCTAGTTCTGCGCCAATCCTGGGTGGGCAGCTGTCCCACCTTGCTCCTTTCTGCACTCCATGGGTTTCTGTTGCTCCCTTGATGAATCCCAGCATGGCCTCCTGAACAATCCACTGGAAGACCTGTTTCCTCTCTATGAGAGTGGTGCACACTAGCTGCTTTATAAGCTAGCCATATTGGCACATTTTTCCAATAATAAAGAATTTTAATGGAACAGTTTATATAATTCTAAGAGAGCTAAGACTCATCACCAAATCCCTAAATAAAGTCATCTGTTTTCAATAAGTGTTTAAAATTAGTATATTTATGATTCATAGAAGAATTAATGTTGGGATCATTTTAGTATTCAATGAATTTATAGCCTAGGACTAAACTTACACTCTCCTCTTGCATTATACTAGGTGTTTTGTTAAATTGCTGCTATAACAAATTACCACAAACTTAGTGGTTTAACATAACACAAATTTATTCTCTTGTAGCTCTGGAGTTCAGCATTTCAAAAGGAGTCTTACAGGACTATGATGAAAGTGTTGGTAAGGTTGGTTCCTTCTGTAGGCTCCAGGGGAAAAGCTGTCCCTTGACTTTTCTAGCTTTTTTATCACCTAGGCTCCTGTCTTTTTTGAAGTCAGCAGTTGCTTCCATGCTTCTTCTCACTCTCCTGCCTTCCTCCTCCCCATGTAAGGAATCTTGTAATGACTTTGGAACTATCAAAACAATACAGCATAACCTCCCCATCTCAAAATGCTTAACTTCTTCACATCTGCAAAATGCCCTTTGCCACTTAAGGTAACATCATCTCAAATTCTGATAATAGAGGCATGGTATTTTAGGAAGGAAGGCTATCATTCTGCATACCATATAGATAAAAGTGAATTTTATTTTAATTCTGACAAGAACATCATATTTTTTAATAAAAGAATTAATCTTTCAATTATTCTATTAAGCATACTGTCATATTTCAAATTATTTTTTCTATTGTGACTGTATTTTTCAGTTTTTTTCTTCTGATTATTTCAGTTAATATGTAATATAAATATAATTCAATTAATAGCAAAGATAGTAGCTATTTTAAGTTGATATATGACTTCAAAAATTTTAACTGTGTGCACCATTTTTATTGTGTTTTAATAACAATGTATCAATTTTTGTAAATTACTACCTTTTTCAAGGGAAGAAACCTTAGTAACTCACCTCAGAATTTTTCTTATTGTTTGCAGCCAAATCACAACTTAGCCTCCACTTCAGATACCCTCTTCTTAACATTGGAACCCCATCTTTAATAGCATAAAAAATGAAGTGTTACTGTTAATTATTAAAACCTCACAGAAAATTCAATTTGGTTAAAGTCATTCTATGCATTGGGTAGTGATTCTTTAAAACTTGACCGAAAAAATTAAATGTAGAATTTGGAGATTTTTTTTTTTCAATTCAGACATATGATGATGTAATGAACATTCTCCTGTTAGAGCTGCAAACAATAAAATATAAAGGAAAATGTAGCTTATTATTTCGGAAGGAGGAGAAAGTAAAATGGTTTATCACTAAGCACAGTTTTATAAATAAGACATTTAAAATGTAGTGAGATTTTTATCACTTTCCTTAAAAGAAATGGAATCTACCTCCTCTATTAACCACTTGACTCCATCTCATTCAAGCATTATACATGAAAGAGTACACAAAGGACAGAGCTATCAAATTAAGGTGTTTTAATATTCTTCATGGCTCACTGCTTGGAAGGCAATATTACTGTTTCTATTAGGGAGGAGGAAAACCATATAAGAAGAAGTTGTTCTCCTTATTGTTGATGCTAAGACTATTTGGGATTATTTAGATTTCTGCAACTCACATTGCTGGAGTCGAATAGTCCTCTGGCAAATTAATTAATTAATTCCAAAATGAAATCTAGAATTTGCACACACCCTTCCCAAAATGACACTTACCTACCACTCAAACAATTATCTGTGACTGGTGTAAAACTGTGCCTAGCTTAATATCAACAGTTCATTTTAAAGAAAACTTTATTTTTCCATTGGCAACAAGTTTAAAATCTATTATTTCTGAGATAAGATTCCTACAATTGTAAGAACTTTGTCCCATATTAATAGAAGCATGTATTTAGGACAACTGATATGTATAAGATATAACATGATACTTCAAATGCATTTTAATAATCAATTTCCTTTAACCTTTCTTACTTTCCCCAAAGGAAGACAAGGCACTGATTTTCCTCATGTTTGTTATATATAAGAAAAATAAACTAAGAGACATTAAGATTAGGATTAATTTGCATAATATCACACAATAAGGTGAAGACTCACCTCTCAAATGCTGATATTCTGTCTTATGTTCTAGTCATTGTATCACAGTAGTCTCTGGGAAATGTAATATTATTGTCGGTATTTTATGATATACAATATGTAAAATGGAATGCAGAGAGTTGAATGGTGGTTGTCAAGGGCTGGTGGGGGCTCAGAATGGGGAGATGTCATTCAAATGATGCAAATTTTCATTTAGGAGAAATAAGTTTTTTTGGGGGTCTACTATACAGCAGGGTGCCTATAGTTAATAATGACACATTACGTAATTGATTTCTAAGAATAGATTTTAAATGTTCTCAACACACACACACAAATTAAGTACCTGAGGTGATAAATATGTTAATTGGTTTGATGTAATCATTCCATAATATATACATATGACAAAACATTTCATTGTACACCATAAATCTATACAAGTTTTGTTTTCAACTTAGAAAAAATAAAAATAAAAAATAAAGACACATGTATAAACAGATAGCCTATTGTAAGGAAGTAGAGCAAAGTCACTGAAAACAGATCGCCTCACCTTAAATCCCCACCGGCCCATGTTTCATCATGTGAGAAATGATTTTATGCTACCTATTCCACAGGGTGTTTTGAAGAATAAATGAGTTACAATGTTGTAAAGTAATTTTCTGTGAGAGCTCTATCAGTGTTAATGAACATAAAAATATTCTATTGTCTGTACATGGAAGACACTAGGTATTAGCTGCATAAACTCTCCAACATGGAGTGTTAATTCAGATGATGAATTACTATATTTGTCATGTAGAAAACATTCTAGAAATGCAAGGAGTAAAAGAATAGTAGAAATTTTGGAAAAGCAAACTTCTGAGTTCCTTTGTAAAATTCTGTGAATCACTGCTTTGTAGAGAGTCATACAGATATTCTCTCCTAAACCAAATATGTTCTTTTCCCATAAACTGCCATTCCATATGTGGCAAATCTGTATCCAACTTGCAATTTAATGGAGTGGCTAAATGTGCATGCTACCATAAGCCTCAGCAGATAAGAAGAGAGTTATAGTTAATTTGTGAATTCCTGTTGTAGCAATTTCAATACTACAACAGTATGCTTTAGTATTTACATGAATTTACATGATTTTTTTCTAAGTCTTATTTACTGACATATGGATAATGTGACTTCATTGCAAAGATTTTCCTAAAATATCCATTTTCGTATTTTATATCATTTCCAAGTTTGCAGACTATGTATTCTATCCTGTTGAAAATCAATTCTCCATATTTGCTTTCGTGTTCATAGAGAATGAAATTCAGAGAGAAGGAATTAAGTCTAAACCAAGATAAATTAGATGCATCTTTTCCTCTAGGCAGTGGAGCAAATGCAGACTGTAATTTAGTCACAGAGCATCTCTAGAAAAAATTACCATTTGTAAATATGTCATAATCTAAGAAAAGGTAGATCCACGATAGTGTTTTACAACTTTAATACTATCGTATGTGTGCACAAATTTATGAACTGGATACACTGTGTTCTCTGCTAGATTCACAGTTTCATCTATGCTGCAATTTTCTTTCTTTCAATACAAACTAAAGAATGATTAGGCTAGGCCAACAAAATACAATTATCTACTGTGAACTAACTGCAGTGCCCCATTATCATGTTGGCGCCTTGAACAGAGGTTAGAAATTTTTCAAATTGTCTTATTACTTTGTTGAAAAAAGAAAATTAATATCTAAGCTGATATAAAAGAAAAAGATACCTATAAATTATTGACAATGGAAGATCCCTGTTTAAATTTGCAAATCTACATTATGTATAAAGCAGAATAGTTTCCATTTTCAAAAATAATTTTTGATAGCTGATCAGAACAAAGTAGTTTTCTTGCTTTCTTTTTTGGTATTTTTTTTCTCACCATTATTCTTGTAATTTTCCATTGTTCATAGTTTTGTTGATTTATTACACACATATATCTCTTTTAAAATAAATATAATGAAGGATAAATATTATATAACAAATTCCATACACTTAAACATTAAACTTTGACAATGCAACAGACATACATTCCTTTAAAATCACTACCAAATTCTAGACACAGAACTCTCCTCCAAGAAGTTCTTTATTCACCTTGGCTTTCTATTCCTCAGGCCACTCATTCCCAGACAGCTATGAACTAGTTTTTCACTCTAGATCAATTTTCATTTCTAAAATTTTACATAAAGTTTATACAACATAATTTATTTTTATTTGATGTCTTCAACTTCAATTTAACATGATTTTAAGATCCATCATCATAGATGGCCTATGTATGAGTAGTCTATTCCATTTTATTGCCGAGAGGTATTTCATTGTATAGATATATCACAATATATCACAATAGTTTTAGCTATTTACCAGCTGATGAACATTTGGGTTGTTCACACTTTTGACTATTGTTTAAAAAAAAAAAAAAAGCTGTTCAACACCCGCCTATGAATGAGAACATGCGGTGTTTGATCTTCTGCTCTTCTGTCAGTTTGCTGAGAATGATGGTTTCCAGGTTCATCCATGTCCCTACAAAGGACACAAACTCATCGTTTTTGATGGCTGCATAATATTCCATGGTGTATATGTGCCACATTTTCCCTATCCAGTCTATCATCAATGGGCATTTGGGTTGGTTCCAGGTCTTTGCTATTGTAAACAGTGCTGCAATGAACATTCGTGTACACGTGCCCTTATAGTAGAAAGATTTATAATCCTTTGGATATATACCCAGTAAAGGGATTGCTGGGTCAAATGGAATTTCTATTTCTAGGTCCTTGAGGAATCGCCACACTGTCTTCCACAATAGTTGTTGAACAATGAGAACACATGGACATAGGGAGGGGAGCACTAACACACTGGGGTCAGTTGGGGGGAAAATAGGGGAGGGATGGTGGGGGGTGGGGAGCTGGGGAGAGATAGCAAGGGGAGAGATGCCAGATGTAGGTGATGGGGAGGAAGGCAGCAAATCACACTGCCATGTGTGTACCTATGCAACAATCTTGCATGATGTTCTTCACATGTACCCCAAAACCTAAAATGCAATAAAATAAATAAATGGGGGGGAAAAAGCTGCTGTGAACATTTGTAAAAAATAGTTGTGTAACTATATTTTTTATTTATTTTTAGGGGTAAATGTCTTTGAGTAGAATAGGTGGGTTATATGGTAGGTATATATTTACTTTTATTAGAAACTGTTAAACTTTTTAGTATGATTGGACAATTTATATCACCATTTATGTGTAGTAGATTTTTAAATTTCTACATTTTTGCTACCTTTGACTTTTACCACTTTTTAATTTTTGCCACTGTACTATGTATGTATGTAATTGTGACTTATTTTGAATTTCCATGGTCATTAATAATTTGACCATCTTCATCATTTATAACATTTATAAAGTATATTTTCCTTTAGAAAGTGTATTTTCAAATCCTTTGCTCATTTTATTGGATTTATTTTTAATTTGTAAAAGTTTTGTATTTTTCTCATATGTTTGTTGGCCTCATGTATCCCTTCTTTTGTAAAGCATCTGTTCATATCCTTTGCCCACTTTTGAATGGGCTTGTTCGGTTTTTCTCTTGTAAATCTGTTTTAGTTCTTTGTAGATTCTGGATATCAGCCCTTTGTTAGATGGGTAGATTGCAAAAAAATTTTCCCATTCTGTTGGTTGCCAATTCACTCTAATGACTGTTTCTTTTGCTTTGCAGAAGCTGTGGAGTTTGATTAGGTCCCATTTGTCTATTTTGGCTTTTGTTGTCAATATTTTTGGTGTTTTGGTCACAAAGTCCTTGCCTATCTATGCCTATGTCCTGAATGGTGTTGCCTAGATTTTCTTCTAGGGTTTTTATGGTGTTGGGTCTTATGTTTAAGTCTTTAATCCATCTGGAGTTAATTTTAGTGTAATGTGTCAGGAAGGGGTCCAGTTTCTGCTTTCTGCACATGGCTAGCCAGTTTTCCCAACACCATTTATTAAACAGGGAATCATTTCCCCATTGCTTGTTTTTGTCAGGTTTGTAAAAGATCAGATGGTTGTAGATGTGTGGTATTGCCTCTGAGGCCTCTGTTCTGTTCCATTGATCTATATCTCTGTTTTAGTACTAGTGCCATACTGTTTTGATTACTGTAGCCTTGTAGTATAGTTTGAAGTCCAGTAGTTTGATGCCTCCAGCTTTGCTCTTTTTGCGTAGAATTGGCTTGGCCATGCAGTCTCTTTTTTGGTTCTGTGTGAAGTTTAAGGTGGTTTTTTCAAGTACTGTGAAGAAGGTCATTGGTAGCTTGATGGGGATAGCGTTGAATCTGTAAATTACTTTGGGCAGTATGGCCATTTTCACAATATTGATTCTTCCTCATCATGAGCATGGAATGTTTCTCCATCTGTTTGTGTCCTCTCTTATTTTGTTGAGTAGTGGTTTATAGTTCTCCTTGAAGAGGTCCTTTACGTACCTTGTTAGTTGTATTCCTAGGTATTTTATTCTCTTTGTTGCAATTGTGAATGGAAGTTTGTTCTTGATTTGGCTCTCTTTAAGTCTGTTATTGGTGTATAGGAATGCTTGTGACTTTTTCACATTGATTTTGTATCCTGACACTTTGCTGAAGTTGTTTATCAGTTTCAGGAGATTTGGGGCTGAGACAATGGGGTTTTCTAGATATACAATCATGTCATCTGCAAAACTGGTCATTAGAGAAATGCAAATCAAAACTACATTGAGATATCCTCTCACACCAGTTAGAATGACAATCATTAAAACATCTGTAGACAACAGATGCTGGAGAGGATGTGGAGAAACAGAAACACTTTTACACTGTTGGTGGGAGTGTAAATTAGTTCAACCATTGTGGAAGAAAGTGGCAATTCCTCAAGGATCTAGAAATAGAAATTCCATTTGACCCAGCAATCCCATTACTGGGTATATATCCAAAGGGTTATAAATCTTTCTACTATAAGACACATGCACAGGAATGTTATTGCAGCACTGTTTACAATAGCAAAGACCTGGAACCAACCCAAATGCCCATTGATGATAGACTGGACAGGGAAAATATGGCACATATGCACCATGGAATACTA